CAAAACCCCGTGCCATTGTCCTTGGCTTCTCATCAGCCCAAAAAGAGGAATTTTTCAATCAAATAAATTTACGTTTCTACACAGAGCAGGGGCTTATTCCCGCCCTGGTGGTAGTGTCTGTGCTTGCAGCAGGCAGCCTTCCTTTTTCCTTTCCATCCTCCTAGCTACATTTCTCAACACAAGGCTTTCAAATCAACCTAGCTTTCATTGCGCCATTCTCTTCTCAGGTTTCAGGAATAAAAGAACATGATGACCCTGGCCTCAGTACCTGGTTCAGCATACAACCCTAACTACATTCTAAATACTGTCCTTACAGCCACAGACGAGTGTAATCCTCACCCAGGATCAGGTAAACTTCTCTTTGAAACAATGACCATTATAGAAAACTGTAGTCCATCAAAATGCAGAGCTGTTGATAAAGTCCAAATAGATACATCTATAAAACATCTCCCACATCTAAGGCTCAAGGAATATTTTGAAAGAGGGGGAAGAAAGATTGTAAGAGTCAAAGGATTAGGAAGTTTGCTGTGAGGCCATGTCTCCTAGTAATGTCAGAAGCTACACCCATATTGTTTTTACCAGGTGCTAGAACGGATCACAAGACAAACAATGGAAGCCACTTTATGAGTTTATTAAGAGGGGAAGAGAAGAAAGTGCGGGGAAAGAACATGGAGCAGGCATGTCCAGTTTTTAAATGTTTCCTAAAGCATGCACACAGGGGCTTAGGTGACCCGTCACACGTAGATCACATGACCATGCTTCGCGTGGCCTGAACACTTAATGATGCATGTGCGGCCATGGAACCCAGAAGTGACAACACTTAGTCTGGCTAGGCATTTTGCCAGAGAGCTGGCAATTTTGGGTGATAGAAATGATAACACATATTTTTCTCTGGTCCCTTCCCTTCCTCTCCCCTCCCCTTCTACCCTCTCCCGTGGTCCCCATACTCCCAATTTACTCAGGAGATCTTGTCTTTTTATATTTCTCTTGTAGATTAGATTCATGTATGTGTCTCTTAGGGTCCTCTTTGTTGTCAAGGTTTTCTGGGATTGTGAATTGTAGGCTGGTTTTCTTTGCTTTATGTCTAGAAACCACTTATTAGTGAGTATATATGATAATTGTCTTTCTGGGTCTGGGTTAGCTCACTCAATAAGATGTTTTATAGCTCCATTCATTTGCCTGCAAATTTCAAGATGTCATTATTTTTTTCTTCTGTATAGTACTCCACTGTGTAAATGTACCACATTTTCCTTATCCATTCTTTGGTTGAGGGGCATTGAGGTTTTTTCCAGGTTCTGACTATGACAAATGATGCTGCTATGGTGTGTGTTCTTGCAGAGTAACGAAACTGTTCATTAGGTAACCAATAAGTCACCCTCAGAATGGAAAGGTGGCATAAACAGGAAGCCAATGTACCTGGATTAAAGGATGGGGAAGGACTCCATTTTCTTTAAGGGGCTGGCCACTGGGAGTTTGATCATGCTCCAGTGAGCAGGGCAACACAAATTGAACATTCTATTTATTCATTCATTCATTTATTTATTTTGTTTCTGTTTCTCCTCTTTGGTGGGGCAGGTCACAAGGGTGGGGGCTGACTTGGGAAGACTGGAAATTGTAAGGGGTGTATGATGTAAAATTCCCAAATAATAATCAATAAAAATATTGTATTGGGGGGAGAAAAAATGATAGCACATATAGTTTCACCGATATAACTGTCTAAGCATGAGCTGAACAAGGACAACAGCAATAGATATATGGAGAAATTGGGAAAAGACGGCAGAGTCTCAGCTACTGAAAGACAGCTAAGGAGGGCTGAGCATGGGAGAAATAGTCTTACCCATGAAAAAGCACACAAATTAGTTATCCAGTATCAAATTATCAGCCCTAAACATACATATGAATAGCATATGCAGACTGAGCAGGTTATATTTAGGAATATATAAGTATATATATACATATATGCATATTTTAAGGAGAGTAAACAAGGGTATCTGAAAGGATTTAGAG